TATATTCAATATTTCATACAATAGTTCAATAAACAAACTACGTTATGTGATTCCGTTTGCATTATTAATATTTACAAGTTTCCTGGCAATACCGTGAGTTCATATCAAACTTGGGCGTACAGCGACATCGCTTGCTACTACACATCCCACACAGTGGATATTATTTTAATCACGCCCAAGCAAAAAAAAAAACCTTTCTACTACAAAATAAAATCGTGCATGAATTTAAACGATGTTTTTGCTTCCATCCCTTAAAATAGAATGAAATTCTTCATGTAATATGGCATTTATACTGGCCGCAAATGGCCAGTCATTTGAAAGTCTTCACATATGTTGTTTTTTATTTGTTCTCATTTCAAACAGCTGATTTGTCAACGTGCCATTTGATTTGATTTTTAAACTGTGTCAAAAGAATGTTGGGTGAAGGCAACATATACCTTCAAACCTTACAATATAAATTGAAAACTTATTTTTAGCTTTGAGTAAGTACTATTTGAGAAGTAAGTAAAAGTTCCAAAAGGTGGTGCATCGTTTTTAAGGAAATGCAATCACGAAATATTTGTTTACATTTTTCTTAAATATGTCAGAAACAGGTTTCTTAAACTGTCAAAATGTCATGAAAAGCTTTTATTTATAATATATATTCAAAGTCTTTTTTTGCATTTGGAACGTATTTAGAACTCATTTGAAACTGGTTGTACAAAATCATTTCTCCGAAATCGGCGAATGGAACTCATTTGCACATATGAGATTTTGTGTGCAGAAATTAGTCATTTGATTCTCATTTGTGATTTTTGACCAAAATCAGTGGTTTGAGGCCAGTTGAAATGCCATATAAGCCAACAAAAATCCGATTGTGTACGGAAAAACTTTGACGAAAAATCAAAATGTTTTGATTTCCGTTCAACTTGTCGTCAGACCTCCAAATATAGCTTTTACACATGAGACTTAGCTTTTCACATTTCAACGCAGAAGTTGTACGACCAAAGGGCGTGAAATTGACATTGTCGTATACTGTGCTTACATTTCAGTCATTAAGCACTTACATAGACTAACTTTTGCAAGATTTTGGCAGACACTTTGACTTTTTCATTAACATATACAAATTTTTGTTCGTAGCCCAAATTCCAAAACAATATATATTTGCATTCAAACATAAAAAACTTGCCAAGGTCTGGTCAGTGTATACGCGCATCTACATTAGGTTTTATTGCACGTATTTATGCTACAATAACATAATTACAGAACAGTGAAATTTGGACAAAACCAAAAAGGAATAATAATTATCAAAAAAGGCTAAGAATATTATGAATTCAAATTAATGAAAATTTATGTTAAAAAATTGTATGCAATATAATATATTGGGCTTTGATATAATCCAACTACAGAAAGTGAAATTATTAAATATCTTAGGTCTGTTAAATGAGTTACTCGTGATAAAACTCAAAAAAACTTAAGTAAAGTACATACTGAAAGCGTAGCACAAAAAAATGCCTAATTACGCTCTTTACACAGATTTTCATGGAACAGTTTTGTGTAAAGTCTGGCGAGAATACCAAACTTTTAAATCAAACCAAAACAGCTGATTCACATATCAATAAAACTTTTACTTTAAATAAAATGTACGAGTAAAGTCTGTGTAGCATTTTCAAATTTTGACAGGGATGTTACGCTCTGTCAGATGTTTTTATTTACTCGAAAATTTTTCTGGTGGAACGCACTTGGGTATACACAGTAGGTCTGTTCCACGAGCTACTCATAGTAACTTTGAGTAAACACTGTGTATACACAAGCGCGTTCCACCAGCAAATTTTCAAGTAGTTTTGTGTAAATTTTACTTCTGTTTTACTCATGTTTTACTATGAGTAGCTCGTGGAACAGACCTAGTGTTACTCAAAGTTACTACGAGTAGCTCGTGGAACAGACCTATAGTGAAATGTTTCATAATTTTTAATTTAATTTAAAAAGAACATCAAATAATTAATAAAAAAAGTTAAATTAAGGAACGAACATTAAGGGTTTTTATTTAATTTTCTTGCTTCTAGGTAATATAAAGCAAATGAATTATAAAGCAGCTGATTTCAATTTACTATTTTATGTCAATTATGTAGTTTAAAATACGAAATACCAAGCACGTCTGAATACTTAATTGTTTTGTGTTTATTGAAGTAATAATTTATGGTTAGAAATACCATTGCTATAGAATCTCAAGTTCTAACTACACTAAGAGCAAAAGTTTAGTGAACTTATTTATAATTGTTAAGTTGTATAATAGTCATAATTTCTTCTTTGAGTTGTGAAAAAACAGCATTAAGTCTGGTTGCAAAAATTGGCATCACTTTTGAAATATGTTAAATTCTTTTTTAACATATGTTTTTCATTGTTTATGTACAATATGAAATATAAAAATTCTAAACACTGAAAATTAATTAATTTAAATAAAATAAAACAGACTGAGTATTAGAAAGGTAATGGTTTACATTATTCTCTTATAATTAGACCCTGTGCACACGGCGTTATATTAAAATATTTATTTATGTATTTGATCTTATTAGTAAATGAAATGCTCATGATTTTAACGAATGACTGGAATTTTACAACATATAAGCAATTCTTGCGAGTAAAAATTAACACTGAAAAGTTTACGAGCATTGTTGTTGCTTCACATATTTGCTTTCGTAAGTTGCGAGTATTTTTTTTGCTACTCTAAAAGAAAAAATTACGGTTAATATCACATTATTGTGAAGCTTTGACCGTTTGTAAGTTGGAATATATTGAAGTAAAGTAAATTAAAATTTCCTAAGGACTTTTTGCACTGCACTAATGTAAATATTTATTTAATCTACTTATATATTATTTGTGGTTAAAAGTTTTTAAATTTATTTATGAAACATTTTATAAAATTTTCACAATGGTAACACCTTGGTTGCCTAATTTTTATCTAAATTACCCTACTTGCAATTTCGGTAAATACCAACATTCCCTACCATACCGACATAATTTACTATATCCTTGAAAATCCCATCAATTTACTAGTACTCGCACACGGCCTTTGTATATACATATGTATGTGTCCATAACTTTATAACACGAAGATGGTTAAAACTAAATATCTAAAGTTTTTCTGAATTAACGCGTTAATTTATAATCAACGGAATTTCAGTGAAATACATAATTAAAAAGTAAAATTTAATATTAAATTTAATTTCTATATAAAAACTATGTTTTAAGAGAGAGCCTTTTGATATAAAAGAAATTTTATTATTTTTAATTTTATTTTAAATTTTTATTCAAAATTCTTATAGCTGGCATTGCCGTTTGTGGACATAAACGAAATTGGCAATCACAACAAAACACAAAAGAGCATAATTTTTAATATAATGGCAGTGCTGTCAAGAAGGCATATTGAGAAGCAAACGAAACAAAGTGTAAGAGAGAGAGCATGAAGAAGAATATAAACAACAAAACTGGAAACGATAGCAACAAACTGTTGTTGCTGAACTCCGGCGGCGATGCAAGCCCAAGCATGAGAATATGTTGAAATAATGAAGTAGTACAAAAACAAAAACAAAAACAAAAATGATTTAGAAAAACAGCTGCAACATCAACAATAGCATGGCACAGGTACGAGACTTGCTGTTACAGTTGTTTTGTTGGCTATGCTGGTTACAATACGAAATGCGTTTGTAGTTGTTGGTGTTGTTGTGGTTGTTGTTGTCATTGCTGAAATTGGTGGTGGTTGTTTGTTTGCTGCTTGCGTTGTCAACGTTATCACTGCAATGTTGTTTTTGTTATTGGACTTATTGTTGTCGTTATTTTGTTGCCGTGTTGCCGTCGCTTGCGTTGCTATGTATGCTGAACAGCAAAATAACGTTTTGGGTAAACTAAATAACAGGCAAAATAAAGTAATTTAAATTATTGCTCACTCTTTCGCACATACACACTTTAGCACCCAGCAAGATTACAACGTCGATTGCTGTTTTCGCAGCAGCTGCTGCTTGTATTGTTTTGGTTTTGTGTTGTTGCTGCTGCCATAATACTTTGTTTTGTTGCCTGCCTGCCTGCCTGCATATCGCATATATTGAATATTTCGTCGGCAACTTCGTTCAATATTTTATACATTTGCTTGCTTGTTTTTTTCAGTCTTACATTGTCGTTCGTTTGTGTTAACAACGCGTTTGTTGCTAGCAATAATTCTGCGATAACAATTGTTGGAGTTGATTTTTTGAGTTTTAGGATTGATATAGCGATATTAATTTAGAAAATATATAAAAATGTCAAATTCAAATGATTCCAAACCGGACAATTATCAAATAAATGCAAAAATTTGCGGTTTAGTGGAGAAATATCCGTGCATGTATGATCGTTCGCATCCGCATTATTTGAAAAAAGATGTTGTTGACAAGGCCTGGATAAAAATTGCCAAAGAAATGGAGGATTCAAGTGAGTAGTACAAAGTGCAAACAACAACAATACACAGCAATAAAATATATGCGATTTTTTTACGGAATTACTGCCTTCGTTGCTGCTGTAATTGGTGTTGTAGTTGCTGATACAGCTAAGGCAGCGCGTAAGCGTTAGCTTTTTAATGCAACCAATAAACAGTTTATGATAAGATAGAGGGGGCAACATAGCACACCATGCTGTGAAGGGGAGCGTATGCCGCGAATTACTTATGGCGTTGCCATAGTGAAAATTTTCACGTTCTCAAAATTTAAATGCAATTAATAAGGCTTATAAAAGTTTAATATTACTTAATAATTTTTGATAAAAATGAAAAATTTATTAATTTTAAAAATATATTAAACTCAAATGAATATTATTGGTGTGGCATTTTGTTGTCATTGATTGTCGTTGTTATTGATAAATTGTGTATATGTGTGTGTTTATGTGCATACACATGCACATTTGGCAAACAAGGCCGCGCTTTGTTTGATTAAGCAGAATAGTTAATTATAAGTAAATTTAGCACCTGTTAAACTTTTATTGTAGTGAAATGTTACCAGTAGCAATGAACGGCACTTTATACGCTTTGTGTAAAATTATATAATAATAATAATTTTGTTAAATTCGTTTTATAGTTTCGTCTTGCAAAGAACGTTGGCGCAACATACGCACGTCATTTGCACGCTCAATAAATGTCAATAAGGTGCCTGCAAGTGCGAATCGCACCAAGCCATATTACCTACACGAGGAGCTACAGTTTCTGGCTAAACATATAACACCTGGTATACCAGTATCACGCCGTTCGAATGCCTCATACTATGCATTCGGTGAGGAGGCTGAAATAGTGGAAGTGTCAGTTGGTGAAGAATCGTTTGATGGTTTTGCTGCTATGATACACGATGAAGAAGAGTCACAGGGTTTACAAAGTAGCACCGACGAAACAAATGATTGCAGTAAATTAGAACTTAAAGCAAATGTGAACATTTTACCACAACATTCACCACAACAATTAACACAGCAAATACCGCAACAGTTACCCCAACAGTTAACTGAACAATTGTCGCAGCAGTTACCTCAACCTACACCACAACAGCTGCCACTCCCACAACTGCCGCCGCAAATTCAGGCAGCGGTACAGCAATCAGTGCCAACGTTACCTCCACTTTCACAATTACAATTTCGGCAATCCATAATGGAAGACGAACATGAAGCTGAGGCAACACCTGTTTTACCAATGTATCCACTCAAGAAAAGGTTACGTGTTATGGAACCAATCATTCCAGAAGTTGAACGTGATATAAAGGTACTGTTATTAACATTGTTAGGTGTCATATATATTATTAACTTTTCTCATTTGAATTTTTCAGCCTGCTGAGTTATCCACTGATACCGATTTTGATGCAATTTTTCTACAAGGTTTATTACCCGAAATGAAAGCTATGGACTTTCGTCAGAAAATACAATTCAAACGTCGCATTTATGAAGTTATTGGTGAAATCTTTGAAAATGCACCACACACCACTAGCACCAGCACTAATGCCGTTGCTAGCACAAGCAATAAAATATCACCAACTACAACCAGTCAATTAAATTCAGTTAACATTCCTCAACCATCAGTCAATAATAGTGATTTATCCGTATTACGTCAGCTAAGCAGATTAATTCAAAATGCTGAACATAGTGTCAACAATGTCACAGTACCAAAAAGTGTTCCATCTATTTCATCAACGGTACGTTCTAATACGCCAGCTACTGCAACAGTTGCGGTACATCGCGGTGCAGTTACAAGATCAGGCTCAAGTTTATTACGTGTTACTATGGTTAATCCACAACAGGCATCTTCGTCAACATACACCACAACCAATTCCGGAAA